TAATTTTTTTTTCGTTTTCAGCGGACACAACATCTTTTTTTAAAAGTTTTTTTAAGAGATTTTTTTTAATATTTATTTTTTAGTTCTCGGCGGACACAACATCTTTGTTTGTATGTGGTGCTGAGGATCGAACCCGGGCTGCAGGCATGCCAGGCGCACGCCCTACCGCTTGAGCCACATCCCCAGCCCCAACTGTAGTCTTTTTGAGAGACCCAGAGCTAGAGGACCCAGCTAAGCCACAAAAGGATTTCTGTCCCAGAGAAACTTTGAGATAATAAATGAATAAATGCTGTGATTGTGATTTTTTTTTTTTTTTGAGATGGGAGTCTCACTATGTTGTTCAAGTTAGTCTCAAACTCATGAGATCAAGTGATTGGCCTGCTTCAGCCTCCTGAGTAACTTGGATTATGGATGTAGGCCACCATGCTTGTCTAATGTTATTTCAAGCTACTAAATTGTAGAGGAATTTGTTACACAGCAAAAGATAGCTAATACACATCTTAAGGAAGAAAGCGAAGCCTCGGGAGATGAATTAACTTTCAAAAAGTCACAGTTAGTAAATGGCAGAGCCAGGATACACACATACACACACACACGCACACACACACACACATTTTAATACATTAGGTTTGAGAGTCCGAGTTTGAGTCTACTATTTTATGAGGTTCCAAGTGATTGGGTCACTGGAGTTCTAGAAGGCATTCTACTCTGAGAAACCTTGGAGAGTAGCCATGTTTCCAGGAAACTCTTTGTACGCATGTAAAACAGGAATGAACAAAAGTTTAAATGGTGCTAAGTACTCTGTATAGCCCACTCCCTGCTGCAGAAGAATGGTGGATCCACCCATAGATCTGGTGATAGTAACTAGGGGCTCCTTTCAATAAGCACAATGGCAGAGCTAAGAGCTAATTGCCTATCTATTTTATAAGCCCTTAAAGTCATCTTATAATATGCAAGGTGGGTTGAGGGGGTAACTGCTCTTTCTTTTCTTTTCTCTTTTTTTGTTTTGTTTTCACTGGGGATTAAACCCAGGGGTGCTTAACCACTGAGCCATATCCCCAGCCCTTTTTATTTTTTGAGACAGGGTCTCATTAAATTGCTTAGGTCCTTGCTAAATTGCTGAGGATGGCCTTGAACTTGTAATCCTCCTGCCTCAGCCTCCTGTTTTTTTTTTTCCCCTTGAGGATGAAAATAAATGTACTTAGTAATAAGAAAACATAGTATAGTATTCAAAAGTCACACAAGCCCTGGAATTAGAAAGCAAATGGTTCTGCTTGAGAGAATAGCCCCTTCCATTGTCTTTTTTTTTTTTTTTTTCTTTCTTCCCATCCAGGAAACAGAGCCTTAAACCTTGAAACTACAGTACCTTGTTCCAAGGTGGAAAGCAGCCTGGCTGCCCGGGTTGGGATGGTAAAAACATCTTCTCCCAGATAATCTGCCTTTGTTTGGTCAGAACTTTTTTTTTTTTGCCAGTGGTCTCCTTTATGAAGATACGGACCTCAGCGGACTGCATGAATCTATTCTTCCTTGTCAGTCTGCCTTAGTGCCAGAGCAGTAGGCTTTGAACTCACAGAGGATTTCCAGGTGGCAGAAGAACAGTCTCATAGGCTGGAGCCCTGGCACACTTCCCCTTTTAACCAGAGGCAGAGACTGTGCTTTGCTGGTGCAATTATGCAACCTGGTGTAAAGTCCACAGCCAGGGAGGGGTTGGAGCAGGGCTCAAAGCTGGCTCAGCACTCAAGTTGGGCTTCTGGATTCTCTTTCTAGTTTTCTTTACCTTCTATTTTCCTGACCCAATGTCTCTCTTTTTCTGTCTTGTCTTTCCTGGCTATCTCTCTCTCCTCCCTTTTCTCTCTCTCTCTCCCACTTCCCTTCTGCCTCCACCCTCTGGGATCCCTAACCAGGAAACCACCTCTTATCCAGTGTCTTGGCTTGCTTCCAACTGCTAGTGGCAGACAGCTCTGGCCCTTGTCTGCTTTCTGAGTGATTTTCTTCTCCATCAGTTGTTTGTTTCTCTAATCCAGTTGGAGTTGGAATTAGAATTGTGTATAGAATACTGGGGAGGGAGGGGGGTGCAGTATGGGGGAGATCCCAAAAATAAAAAACAGAACTTTGCCATGGTGAGATTTTGCTTCTCTGGACTAAAATAGATATGAAAGGAGATTTGGATTCTGCTCTCTTGCAAAGTGACATTATGAAAAGAGAGCTGGAGAAGAAGTAGCATTACTACCCACCAAAGCCCAAAACATCCATATCACTCTTCAGATATTGAGACATGGCTCTGAATCCTCCATTTTCCACTTAATTGGATTTATAAAGGCTATTTTTTTTTTTTTGCCCTTCATATACCTGCCATCCTAGTCTTGCTCCAGTAGCTCTGAACAGATACCATCTTTGCCACCTACACAAGCCTGCCACATAACACAAAGCTCCAGACTCCCAGACTCCAGTGTTCTTGCTTTCTAAGAGGGGGCCCCAAGAGTCAGGGAGAGGCACAGAACACAGGAAGGAAAAGAGAAGCTGGATGGAGTAATTACATTACAAGGTTACTTCGTGCACAGAAGATCAAAACGTATGGTTCAAGGAATAATCTCTTCAGTACTGACAGTCTTTGATAACACAATAGACTTTTGTTAGTTCCAAGCATTTTAAAACTTTCATGTTTTATAAAAAAGGCTTTCCTTCTTACTGGGTTTATGTATTTACATTTTCTTTCTTAACTGATTTTCACAAAGAATGGTGGTCATAAAAGTACATATACATGTATGAGCAAAAGCATTTATGAAAGCCATTAAGTGTTTGAATCAGGATGAATAACTGACCTTTGTGCAATTTTCCCCCACATTTTGTGATAGTAATTTTGTTGAGTTCCTAAACTTAGATGGCAGGTCCTCTTAGTGAGACTGGCCTAATTCTATGTTCTCTATGGCACCAAGTCACTGTGGCTGTGCAAGAGCCATTATTACTCAAAGTACCATAATAATGGCTATTCCCTCCTATGACGTTATTGTTTCCTATCTGCCAGGACATTAATTGCCTTCTAGCTTGCTCTAAAATTGGTAGTATAGCACACTGCCAAGGCTAGAGAGAAGAAAGCTGCTGGTGATATATTAAAAGGCTGTGTGAAAGAATGCATTGCTGTTTCCTTCTCATTGGGACATCTTCACATTTGCATGTTACTGCATTTATTGTGGGATGTTAGCTAAGGCTTTCATCTTGACTTCCAGCTTACCATGGTCAATGTCTGATCTTTCCTTTAAGTGAATGATTCAGACATCTCTGAAGTTATTTTGGATTTTTCACTTTCCTTTTATGGGCTTTTTTCTGAGTCAGTGAATTGAATGGGAGGTTATTTCTAAATTGGAAGGTGAGGATGAGAGAAGGGGGAGTAAAGTTCCGGAAAATAACTAGGAAAAGACACTTTTTATGTATAGTTACTGGAGGAATAATTTCCACTTGGTTTGGTGATAGAAGTGTGTAATTTATTTACATTTTAAAGATATAAGCTAGAAAATTATTTTTTCTTCTGTATAACAAACCATACAGTTTTAGTTTCCTTGTAGCTTGCTCTGCAAAGGATAGGTTAGTAAGTAAAATAGACAGGAACAAAGAGTTAGCAGGAAGAAGGTAGGGGCAAAGTACAAAATTTCCAAAGTCCAGATTCTTGGTCCCACAGAAAGATCTCAATCATAAAGTAGTGCTTGTGAGGTGAACAGATCCTTGATGGAGTTCGTGTATGTTTCAAGGACTGTGGGTTTGCTTAGTATATAGGTAGATATGTGAAGAAGGTAAATTTAAATATGATTTAGAAATTCAAAGAGTAATTAGGACAGCATTTTCTTATTCAGGAGCAGGAAAAGTGGGTGGAAATGAAAAAGAAAAGCAAAAAAGCTAATGATGAATATATTTCTAGGAGCACAAGAGTTTTTATAGCAACACCAGATTTCTCAAAAATGCCTACTGTGATTTGTACCCAAATGAATAAAAAATGCAATCACTTATTCTTGTGCATTGTGCCAAGAGAGACAGAAAAGAAAAAAACAAACAAACAAACACTGCAATTCATTCAATGGCTCTAATTTAGACTGCTAGGAAGAGGTTTAGAAAAAAAAACACAAGCTTTTAAAGTATCTGACACACAGCTCGTAGGACTATTTAAAAACTGCTGAACATTAAAAGACAAACAAGCAAACAAACAAAAAAAACCAAGCAAGGATGGAAGGAGAAGAGGGGGCAGGAATTCTTATTTCCAGAACATCCACAAGGGTAAAATGTGGCCCGCTTATTCAAAACTTGCTGATGACTGGCTGGTCACTTGTCAGAAGCCCTTTAGGAATGAGTCTGGAAGCTGGAGAGCTCTCGAGGTTACACTTCATTTTATTGACGACTTATATAATCGCAACTGAAGTGGACTGTTTGCTGCTAAATAGAATGCTGCTCTTTGCCCTTTAGCATGGAGATTCCCGAAAAGAACTTCAAGGAAACTGGGAGCATTGGGACCTCAAGGAAAGGGGAAAATTTTATCTCTACAGTACCTTTCTTCCAGGGGATTAGAAATACTTCTTAAGCACAACCTCTGGTATTGGTGTTTTGCAAGGGTTACCTCTATGAGTAAGTTGGCACTGATAAGCTTCGCCTTGTAGGAAGGGAGCCGGAGAAGGGGAAGAGTTTTCATTCCACAACAAAGAGTTAACCCTTCCCCAGAAACCTCGGATGTGAGTGTCTGCCCCTTCTTGGCTTTCTACTGCGCAACCAAACTGCACAAGCTTGAACCAACCGTGGTGGTCACATCCTTTGCCAGTTAACTTAACAGACACTTCAAGCAGCCTATCAAAACTTCGAACTGCCCAACTATCAACCAATTACAAATAAAGCTTGGTCTAAGGCTCTCCAAGTCCGGGCGGGGGCGAATACACGGTCCAGGAAAAGGGGCGTTAAAGACGCGATGATGGGCGGGTAAATTGAACCAATCATAGCAGAGAGCCGCCGCCCCACGGTCCAATGGATAGGTCGGAAGTATGATATAGGGTGGGCCTGTTGTCATGGGGGAGGTGGTGGCGCTTGGTGGCTACTGGCGGCCGAGGTAGAGGCAGCAGCCCGGGAGTTGGTCGGGGGCCCCGGCAGGTGAGTGCTGTAACGTGGGCCTCAGGTCTGGAGGCCGTGGTGGGGTGGAAACTCCAGCTCAGCGCTCTGGAGGCGGAGGCCGGAGGAAGGGGGCCTGGACTACGGGCCGGGTTGGGGCCGGGGCCAGGGCGGAGGCGAGTTCGCCCTGACTGGGCTGGTGGGAGAATGGCCCGGTTCCTGGAGTTCGCGCTGGGAAGGTAGGCTGGCGCCGGACACCAGCAGGTCAGGCTGGGAGGTCCTTTGGGGCATCCCGCTGCTCGGGTCTGGGGCGCTGACTGCGGGCGGCTGTGTAAGAGGTAGCTCCCTGAGGAGACGTTAGCGACTGGGGTCCCAGAGAGAGGGGGGTGACTCGGGGTGACTAGTCCGAGGGCGGGGTGATTTGGGAATAACTAGGACGACTTGGGAGTGAGAAGGGGAGACCCCGAAAGCTCGGGAGCAGCGGGTGCGGCCAGAGCTGGGGGTCAAGGGAACTGGGAGTGGCCCCTATGGGAGAGAGAGGGAGGTGGGGAGCCCGAGGGCGGCCGGGGTCCGGAGTGACAGGGGGCGGCCTGGGTCCGAGTGGGACGTCTGAGGAAAGGCACTGAGCCGGGTGAGAAGTCTCCTGAGAAAGGCGGCCGTCCGGAGGGGAAGGGCCCCTGCGGAGATGGCGAGCGGCGGGTCTTCCGAGGGTCGGACCCGCTGAGACCTTGAACCGTCTCGGGGGAGGAACCGCTGCGCCCTGCCCCCTCCCCCCCCCCTTCGGCTAGTTTGGGATCAGAGACCCGAGACCGGACCGGCAGCTTGTGGATCTGAAGATCCCCGGGACACGAGGAAAGAAATCCTCGAGGAGTAGATCGGGTGAGGGTTCCGCGGGGAAGTGGAAGTTCCCTCCAGCGAAATGGAGTGGAGGTGGGTGGAGGTGGGAGGGGAAGAGTAATTTCCCTGTAGGAAGGGAGTAGTAGACGCCGCCAGCGAGCGAGAAAGTTGCGCAGGAAGAGAGTAGTGGTCCTGTGGAGACTAGCCAGGACAGTAGATAAGCGAAATTAATGGTGGTGCCAGTAATAGGTTCTAAGGTCTTCAGAAAGGCTAGAAACTTCAGCTTCATAATTAATACTAAGATCCCATCTAGGACCAGAGAAAAGGTCCTAAAAAGCAAGGTTAAGTAACTTGCATTCCACTGCTTTAGAAATTTGTTTTAGGACGACAGCCATAATACTAGAAAATAAGGACGTTGACAGGACGGGGAATTTGAGAGGGGAAAGGGGAGGAGTACTTGAACCAAGGGAATGGAACTGGGGACTTGATCAGAAGGAAGATATTCATGACAAGGATAGGCATACCCTGCTAAATTGAAAATAAATTTAAATTCTAGTTCCACCACCTGGCTTGATCAGCTTAACTCTGTGTTTTTTTTCTCATCTGTATATTAGGGAGACTGATAGTTTTTTGGTTTTGTTTTGGAGTGTTGGATATTGAACCCAGGGCCACAGGCGTGATAGGCAAACACTTTGTCACTGAGCAACATCCCTGACTCTTTCTAAAAATTTTTATTTTGAGATAGAGTCTTTTAAATTTCCCAGGCTGGCCTCGAATTTAGTGAGCCTTCTGCCTTACCCTCCTGAAAAGCTGGGATTGCAGGCATGCCCCATGGTGCCAGAATTCTCCCAATTACTAACAGTTTTTATTTAATAGGGTTCTAAATTTTTATTTATTTTTACATGTTAGTGTTTGTAGAGCTTTTAGACTAGTGACTGGAACATAGCACTGTGAATTGGATTGTTGAGTAGAGGCTAAAGATCTGAGTTCTTTAAGGTGGAGATCTTCAAACTTTTTTTTTTTTTTTTACCTCAGAATCACTTGCTAACTACAGATTGTTTGGCCCCACCTGGGGTTTGTTTTTGTTTGTTTTGTGGTATTGGGGTTTGAACCCAAGGCCTGGTGCAGGCTAGGTGAGCAGTATCCCACTGAGCTGGGCCACAAAAGGGGTGGGTACCCCTTTTAAATTTTGTTTTGACTGCTGGTCTCACTAAATTGCCCAGGCAGCCCTAGAACTTGTGATCCCCCTGCCTCAGCTTTGAGTAGCTGCAATTACAAGCAGGTGCCACCATGCTGGGCTCCACCTGGGGTTTCTGATTCAGTAGTCTGGGGTGGGACCCAAGAATTTATATTTATCTCAAGTGATGCTTATGTTGGTTAAGGGACTGTACTTTAAGAACTACTTGCTTTTAAGGAAATAGTAATAATTAGCAGCCTGAAACTACCTGCCCATCCTGCAAAAGAAACAATTAGAGGCAAATTGCAAAAAGGATCCTATTATAAAGGATAGGTGACACCCCCCCCCCCTTAAATATATTTCATGCTAGGCAAGTCTCTACCACTGAACTACACCCCCAGCCCCAGGATACCCTTTATTAAGCCTGTTTTTAAAACTTTGGATCATGATTAGTTAGTAATTTATAAAATCAAATTTCCAGATTACATCAGCATGGGAAATACAATGAAGAAGAACAGAATAAACTAGTTGGTAAGGAAAAGTATTATTTTGGGAAATTTCTCAAACATGTTTGTACTAGGTCACAATGTAAAATGAAATTTTAAATTCAAAGTTTGAGAAACTCTTGAGCCATTCAGTATAGTAAGAGCAACTCTCTAATATCTAAGCGCTGGGTTATTTACTCATAGATCTTTACATGGTTATCCTATCTCAGATGATGACATTTCATTAATTTTTTTGGTTTCTGATTTGGTTTCTCTTGTGTTGGTGTTATATATTGTGTTGTGCCTCTGACTCCATATTTTTGGATATTGAGAATCTTGCCTTAAGGACTTAAGAGAAATTGCTGTTTTTCCACTTTTGTTTCACTTGAGCCCTCTTGTTTAACCCCCCCACACTGTACTGTAAAGCATTGTCTGTAATAATAATCATAAAATATAAAAACCCTAAGTATACACAGATGTATTGACAGTAAACAACTGACACTGAAATATTTGAGAACATTTCAGGTATGGAAAGTAAGCAAAAATAAAATAAGAAACATTTCAAAACAAAGTGAAAAGGTATTTTGTGTTTAGACTGTCAAAATATTTTCTTGGCTTTTTTCTTGACCTAATACAAAATACATTTTTAAGGAAACCAGCAATATGATTTCTAGCTTTCTGTAGAGAGAAGAAAATGGTGTTAATACTTGACAGAAAAATGCACTGGGATAGAGGCTTACCTACAAAGACAATTGTTTATTAAGGAGGAGCTTTTGTTTCATTGGTTTTCTCCCCAGAGAGTGAACTGGTTGTGGCATATGTTGTAAATTTAACTTGTTTGAGGAACCTAAAGGTAATCCACAGTATTTATGCAAAGTTATATTAAGAATATGTACATTGGGCTGGGATTGTGGCTCAGTGGCAGAGTGCTTGCCTCACATGTATAAGGCACTGGATTTAATTCTCAGCACCACATAAAAATAAAATAAATAAATAAAAGTATTGTGTCCATCTACTAAAAAAATTTTAAAAGAAGAATATGTTTTATGTTTTTCTTGATTTGATTTTTTTTTTGAAAACTAGATGGCTTATTTGAAAAAAAGATAGAGTTGATTTAGATCTGTTTTTATGGATATGAGAACAAAAATCAATATTGAAAACTGAAAGAGATCCTTGTAGCTTTCTTTACAATTTTTAATCCAGGATATTATATAACCTTTCATTAATTTTTTATGAAGTTGTGAAAAAACTATTTCCATAGCTTTACATCAAGATTTTTGGATAGTTTTTTTTTCCTTTAAAAAATGTAATTTGAGGATTGGGGTGGTGGCTCAGTGGTAGTGTGCTTGCCTAGCATGTGTGAGGTACTGGGTTCTATTCTCAGCACCACATATAAATAAATGAATAAAGGTCCATCAATAACTAATGGAATTTTTAAAAAATATAATTCGATTACAAGTATTTCTATTTCTTTAAAAAAGTTTATGCTTTCCAGCCTTCAAATAACATATTTGAAATCAAAGGCAAAAGCAGGTTTTTTTTTTTTTTAAACAAAACAAATGTACTGAGTTTTTTGTCACAAAGTTTCCATAGATGAAAGCTTTTGATTTCTTGAATTGAGTTAAATGGAATATCCCTAACACTTTCAGTCATTTTACATTTATATAGATCACTCATTTCTACACCAAGTGATGGAAAAATGTAAAATCTTAAATATGGGGGAAAAAATCTAGAAGTTCATTCTACATAATTGTGAACCTTGAACAGTTTGGTTACTTAATAAATGGACTTTATTCAGTTGAATTATTATTTATCCATAATTTAATCATACTTATCTATAAATAGCTTTAATTGCTCAACTCATTTTTCAGTGAGATCTGTTAAGCTATAGTTGAATCAATTGTGTTTTTTTAAATCCCAAAGAAACTGTGTGCTCCTAATTGTATTATTTTGTGAGATTCAGTTTCACTTACCAAGATTTATTCAGATAAATGATTTTTTTAAAATGGAAGTTTAATTAATGAGTTAATCAAGTTTATTTTCTATTTCATAGAAGTTTTATCCTTTTTTAAATAAAAGAAATTGTTTTTGCATTTTATTTTTTAAAGAGAGTGAGAGAGGAGAGAGAGAGAGAGAATTTTTAATATTTATTTTTTAGTTCTCGG